TAGTAATGAAAGTAATTGAAACAGTCATAATTTTTTATTTATTCTTTATCTTGTGTGAAAAATTAAAGATACTGCTTGACAAACAACTAAAATCTCAATATAATAATAACTAAATATAAAAAATAAGTACAGAAAGATCTTGCAAAATCTAAGAATATTATTGTCCAAATTTTTGATGTAATGTTCATATTTACAGATGTTTAAAAAACGGATAAGACTGAATAATTATAATGATTTCTTATATTTACGCGTTCATTACACATTTAAGTAAAACTAGTTTTACGGAATTTATCGCGTATATTAACTTATTTTATATTCCCGACGTTTCGAGTACTATAATATTTAGAGAAATAGTAAAGAACTCATTAAACAGAAAAAAGGCCATCATACTCTAATAATAAAAAAATAAAAAAACAATAGCGTCTCCACAAATGGAACAGAATCAACGCATATACCTCGAACAATGACGACTCATTTTATTATGACTTAATTTAAAAAATACTTTTACGGTGATTTCTTGACAAAATATCAGTATTTAAAATACTGTGATAACAATTAAATAATGTTAATATTAATAGTTACCGAAAATATGAAAATCAATCCTTTTTAGTGACCTGGATGTGTGATTTTTACACTTTTTAAACGAGCACTGAGACATGTTTACCGTTGGAGCATTCGAAGGCTACTAGATTAAAAGTGCACCCATATATTCGAGTGGTTGCACATTCGGTTACGCCATTTTTTGTCACTGATTGTGTATCTAGTTTTTTATTAGTGATCGATGGGTACTTATAATAAAAACACAATTTTTAAAATGTTTGTCTGTCTGTCCGCCTGTCTGTCTGTCTGTTTGTTCCAGCTAATCTTCGAAACGGCTGGACCGATTTTGACGGGACTTTCACTGGCAGGTAGCTGATTCCACAAGGAGTAACTTAGGCTACTTTTATTTTGGAAAAAGAATTAGTGTTCCTTGCAAAAGCATAAAAACCCTAACACGCGAGCGAAGTCGCGGGGAACAGCTAGTAATATAATATAAGGATAGGGAGTGAGCGCTTGAAACATTGTAAACGTTCCTCATTTTTCTTAGGAAGAGAGGCACCGAGTTTTCTATTTTATCTCCTTCTACCATTAATAAATGTTTACACAAAATAAAAACATTACCAACGTTTAGACAGTTATTGACTTAAAGTAATATTTTAGACGTATGCTAGAAGGATAATCTTAAATTTTTTATCGCTAATCGCTGTTGGTATAGGTATTCCATATTGTATTTTAATTAAGCTTACTATTAAACAACACGAAAAAAAAAGTCAGGCAATTAAATACTAATGTAATTTTAAATGGAAGGAAACTGACAAGACTCAATTTAGATACCACCATTTTTCTTGGAATCACATTAGATGCCACATGCCAAGCTTTTGCTTTACTTTGCCCCATTTATCAAAATTAGCAAGCAGACTTAGCTCTGCAGCATATGCTGTAAAAAAGTTTAGAATTCTTATCAGTGTTGAAACAGCTAGACTAGTTTACATTAGCTATTTCCATAGCATAATGTCATATGGTATTTTGCTATGGGGACACGCAGGTGACACTGAAATTATATTTACAGAAGAGAGCGATAAGAGCAATTTATGATTTAAAGCCTATAGAGTCGCTGCGACAAAAATTTAAGGAAATTAATATATTAACTTTGGCCTCTCAATACTTTTATGAAAATGTAATGTACGTACACAAAAATAAAAGTAGTTTTACAAAAATAAGTGATATTCATTCTGTAAATACTAGGAACAGACACAAGCTAGTAATACCAGTTACTCGACTCCATCGAGTCAGTAATTCATTCTTGGGGCGATGTATACGCTTTTACAACAAAATTCCAGAAAATATTTAAAATTTGACGTGCTCAAAGTTCAAAAACTTTATTAAACTAAGTTTGTATAAAAAGGATTATTATAATATTAAAGAATTTATGGATGATAATAACCCCTGGAAATGAGTTGCTCGCTACCAAGCTATTTCTAATTTGTTGTGTTGTTAATTTGTGTAACATACAAGATTGTAAGCTGCTATTTAAAAAAAATGTCCCGCTGGGTTCCTTGCTGGTTCTTTCCAGGAAAGAGTTTTTTTTTCGACCAGTGGTAATTAAACAAAAGAGTGACTTTCAATAAGTATTATTTATAATCTCTATTGAATAAAACAGTTTCTGTTTCTGTTACACGAATGTTCTTTCGCTAAAAACTAGGTGCATTTTGCGCTATAAATGATAAAATTATTTTAAAATTTGACGTTGTCAAATGAATGAATATATTGTTTTTTTTTTATAGAATAGGGTGACAAACGAGCACACAGTCCACCGGTTGGTAAGTGGTTGCTGTTGCGCATAGACATCTACTTCTATCCTCGTTTGCGAATCAAAATGCAGATGCGTTGTCACCCGTGAGGACTAAGATGGAATGCCTCTTTTCCAGTAAAAAGGGTCTTCGGTTCTCTACACTCACCATACGAAATACATCAGTATTGAGCTGCTATTTTACGCTGGTATTCTATGAGTGCGTGGTCATTCCCTGGTAGAGCCGACCCATTTGTACTACAACCATTTGTATACCATTTGTATACTTATATAGCTCCAGCATGGCTCTACCACGTAGAAAACGCCTTGTGCTAATCATTCGCTAAATCTATGTGGAGTGCACTTACTTATGGAGCGTTAATTCAAGTTTAACTTTTTTTCGGAACAGTAGAAACAGTTTACAGGTTCTTTTTATTATCCACACGTCAATGGGAAACTTTAATATAAAATGTAGGCGTATCCGTCAAAAGACTCGGAGACAAGATGAATTGATACACTCTTACCAGCTTTGTGTGACTTCAGTATTTTATGATATCTTTCCTTTTGGTGTAAAATCCTAAAAGAAGTTAATCAGACACAAAAGCAAATACTTAATAATAAAATAATAATCTAGATCACTAGAAAAGTATGAGATAAAAATCAAAGCCCAAAAATTTTTCTTCAAAGCCAACGTATTGAACTAGTGGGAAAAGCTATTTCCTACGTAATAAAAATGTGAGAACATGAACATTTCGATTGAAGGAAGAAGAGGGATGAGGAGATATCGAAAATGTTGACCAGGAGAAATGACCCGATATGCTAGACTAACATTGCCAGAGGAGCTGCATAGAGCTCTGTTAGAATCCTTGACATATTTTATGAGGAACTATACCATCACTACAGAGCAATAGATGATATTCTCTTAATAATAAGTGTTGTTCAGCCTTACACTGTGCTAACGTCACCAGATGAAGATCTTCGTGTAATAGTTTAAAATCTGACAAAAATCTACGATGATTTTTCTGCAGGATATATAGTTTTGGCGATTTTACTACTGAAAAGCTGCCAGAATTTCTTCCCAAGAAGCGGTTCAATGTAATTCATTGGTGCTTTTCTCGTAAAATTGGGCTATTCTGAATATGTTCCGAATCTAGCGCTGTCTAAGATTTTTTTACTATTAAGTTTCACGTGAAGGAAGCTTTTCAAAACTCAAGTTAATAAAATCTTACTTAAGGTCCACGATGAGCCAAGCGCGACTAACCAATCTTTCCATTTTATCTATCAAAAATTACAAGAAAGTAAACTTTGATAATATATTAGAATATTTTAGCAAAATAAAGTCCGGTTAGCATGTATAGCATTTTTTGTTTTATTTTGGGGGATGCTTGATAGAAAACCGCTCTGGGTGTCAACCTACGCTACGCCGCCACTAGTTACCGTAAAGTTTGATACTGTAGCAAAGCAATAATGTAATCAAAATATTAAACGGAGTTTAATTATAACACTATTCAGCACTTTCCATATTGAAAAAAATACGCATTTCGTTTTCTGTGATGCTGTATACACTAATAATATCCTTAAAATATTGTATCATAGACACTCTATTAGAAAGAAATGCAACGCTTAACTCGGTGCCTTTCATTCATTTCAACGTCACTGATTTAGAAACGTTTCTCTAGTATGAAGTGCGCGCTCCCTATATTTTATAACCTCCTTGTTGTCAGCACTGAACAAGTTATATATGTTCTGTGGCACCATGTGGCACATAGACAGAGAAGTACTGGGGGCACGTACTAATATGGTAAAAATTTATAGGACTATCTTTCTCAACATGGAGTTACAAAATTCCAACTATTTACGTAGTACAAAACCAAGCGGATTGGTCGGTCCTTGTTTATTTCTCCATCTTATTCTAATTACTTTTGGCGCTTTTTTTTATTTATGTACGCGTTTTTACGGACACATTAATACGGAGATGGTCCTTCTTCTACTATATGTAGGTTAGTTCTACTCTATACTCCATGTTTCTCAATAATCTATGACCTTTCTTGTTCTTGTCAATGTCAGGAGTTTTGGCGGGAACTTGAACGGTGGAGGATTGCAGCTCTTGTATTATTGTTTAATAATGGTTTGAAGTGGATTTTAATATGTAAAAGTGATGCGATTTTGTGTATTAAGTGTCTGCGCATGTGAACTATTAGTGAAAACGGTGGAACAATTGCTCTAATGGTGATGTAATCCTCAAGATAAGGTGTCTGTCTGCTTAGGCGCCTTGAGATACCATCGCCAACTGTCAGCCGTCTGCTGGTTCAAGTTGCCGTCAAAATCTCCCAAGGGGTACACCGATTGTGACGCATCAATATATTGTGAAATAGGCAAGAAGTAGGTGAAGTAGTGTACTATGAAGTATAATTATACATTGTAACTTCAGGCTCAGAAGGGCTAGAACCTAGAGCCGTAAAGCCAGTTTAAAAAAATTGTCATTGTCAGTCATTTGTCAGTTATAATTAATAATAATGTCAACAATACGTTGTCATATTATTTCCCTGTAGCGATTTTTACAATTTAAATCGTTGTTGATTATTGCGGAAGAAGCTTGTTGCGTCACACGAGATGAATCAGAGAAGCGATTAGTTAAAGTTACAGCATATTTGCTTTAGTGATTTTTGAAATGTCATCGTTTATAAAATACAGAAACGAAAGCACAGTGAGTATAGATGAAGCATGTACAAAGGACAGTGTAACTTATTATAAAATAACTGTTAAAGTTGGGCCCGTTCACTGGACCGTACTACATCGTTACAGCGACTTTGATGAACTTCATGAAAAGTTGGTGTCAGATCATGGAGTTGCGAAGGAACTGCTACCACCAAAGAAAGTTTTACGGAACAAGACACCTAAATTTATTGAACAAAGACGTGAAGCGCTCAGTGACTATCTAAAGAATGTTTTTAACTATTTGAGGCTTTCTATGCCTACTATTTTTGCACATTTTCTTGACTTTCACCTATATGATATATTTTTCCTGCTTCAAGATTTAGCTAAGAAATTATTCTTAGGTGGTGATAAATTACTTCAAAACGAAAAATCCCACAAATTCAGTCCTATAGAGGTATGAATCGAATTCAAATTATTAGAAATGTAAAGTTGATAACTAAATAATGATTATAATCCATTCATGATAGCATAAGACAATTTGTCTAGGATGATGTAACTAAACTGAAACTAACTATGTATCTTTACTGTATGAATTAAGACAAAAGCTTTTAACTGTACAACACATGCATATTATAATATGTTTACCAGTATATAAATATAGTTGCCTTGCAAACATTTACAATAAAAGGGTAAAAGCATTTAATAATTTAATTTATCAAGACAATGTCAACTACCAATATTGCTGTGTTAGACTAATAAAAATCTTCAATATTCTTATAATATGTTCTTGAGACTAAATAGCAAAGTAAATGGCCTCAGCATGAAAATTGTTTTAAATGACTTTACTATTAATACAAAATATTGAGTATGAAATGAATGTAGAAAACAATGTTCCAGTTAACAATTCATCCTATTTATCAAATAATTGTTCCTTTCGAAACTAAAATTAATATTTGATATATAATTTTCAGAACTTTCACTGTTTTATAAATAAAATCTTAATAGAAAATTCTATAGAAATTTATATAAATTTAAAATGTCACATCACGTGTTTACCTGAAACTTAGATAACAAAACACAAATTGGATTTTCTTAAGTTAGATGGCTATGAATGTGCATCAATATTTTATAGAGAAAAACATGATGGGGGTTTGTACTTTAATAAATAATAATATGGAATTTATCAAGCATAGCGATATAACTAGTCTTTCAACCGAACTTGTTTTGAAGTATGTTGTGTAGAGATCACAAAATTAAATTATCACAAAATTAAATATTATAATTGTTAATCTTTATTGGCCAATGAAAAATAGAAACTTGGAACTCTATTTTACATCACTTGAATATATGCTAAAAATCTTTACCAAAAAAGACCCTCAGAAAATAATAGGAGGTGATTTTAATATAGACTTTCTATGCAAGTCGGAACTTCAGTCTAAGCTTAAATCTCATGCATATGTATAACTTTACTCAGCAAATTAGGGAACCAACCCTAATAACGAGCAAGAGTTCCACATGCATAGACTTGATATTTATCAATTTTAATTTAAACTTGTTTAATACTAATGTAAGGCTACATGAATATGGATTATCCGATCACAAGAGTGCTATTGTTAGTACAAAAAATGTTATGTATAAGCCAAAGATGGCCTGGTACATACAAAAACACCTTTATTAAGAAAGCCAAATAGAATTATTTGAAACTCTAATTAACAATATTGATTGCTTTCAAAGTTTCAAATATGAATATGTTAATGATAATTACAATGTTTTTATACAATCAATTCATAAAATTCTTAACAACAGCATACCCACAGTGAGTATAAAATTAAGAACTACAAAACCAAAAACATGGTTGACAAAAGATATAAAAATCTCATGTAGACATAAGAGGCCACTAAAAATAAAATCGGCCAATTCAAAAATCCTATTTTAGAAAATTATTACAGACGATATACAAAATTCCTAAAAAGTATAGTTAAAACATCAAAAAAAAAACATAATATCAAAAAACTCAAGCAGTCATCTAACATAAACAAAACTATATAATCAATTGTTAAAGAGAAAACTAATAAAATACCTCCCTGTGTATTAAAAAATATAGCATTGTGTATAAATAAAACCACTTTAAAGGATCCACAATCGATAGCCAATGCCTTAAATGAATACTTTGTGGCGATGAGAGGACAAGATGAGACAAAGGCAGAGGCACCAGCGGCAGGCCGGCCTGTCTCCTCTTCTATTGAAAATTCTTTTTATCTGAGACTAGTCAATATTAAAGAAATAAAGGTTAACATTCGAAGTTTAAAAAATTAAAGAAGCTTAGAAAAATATTGAGGGTCACTTATAGGGATAAAAACTATCCTATGTCTCAAGTTAGACCAAACTACACAGTGTGCAAAATTTCACTGCAGTCAGTTTAGTAGTACGTAATTTTTATATATAAAGATTACCCAAAGATATAAGAGAGATGGAAGAATATAGAAATTTGTGATAGCACTAAATAGCTTTTTGATAAAGAAATGTTACTATAAATTAGATGAATATTATGTAAAGTAGAAGTAAATGAATAAATATAGTAATATAATGAATAATAAATACTACAATAATACCTGAAATGTATAAAAAAAATATTTGATATTGGTATACCCTTGCTGGGTGCATGTGCTGTAATGTGTCTCACAAGACCACATGTAAAGGCAATAAATAATTAAATATTCTGAAAGTACATAACCCAATTTAGACTCATAAATTTTTAATATTATTTAAAGCAAAATATTTAAAGACAACTTTAATTAGGATAATTGTTTATCATCCAATTTTTTTTTAATTTAGTTTAAGAGTTATTTTTAATGTTTTATCGTTTAAGAATTTATAACATGATTAATTTTCAAAATGTACATATTTTACAGCTACATGCAATAAGTCGGAGATTTAAGATTGAATGCCCACCTACAGAGAAACAAGATCAGATGTATGATTTTAGTCATATCTTGGATTTTTGTTCTCAAGTGAACTCCTTAAGTATTGAAGGCAGCTATGAGAATCTTGGCACCAGTAACATTGTTCCAAATGAACTAAAGTTTGACCTCATACCTTTCAAAACTTTAATGGAATTGAAAATACTTGGTGTACCAATGGGGTGCATACAAAGTGTTGGTAAGTCATGTTTCTTAAATTCATATTTTTTATTATAATTGTTGTCATTGGATGAAACTGATATAACAGTTGTGTGTTAATATTTTCAACCGACTTCAAAAAAAGGAAGAGGTTCTCAATTCAACTGTACTTTTTTATGTGTGTAACCTCAAAACTTTTTTATAGGTGAACCGGTTTAGATGATTCTTTTTTTATTTGAATGCTGGTGCTTCTCATGTGGCCCCATATAAATTTGATCAAGATCTGACCAGTACTTCTTGACTTATTCTTAATATCATTACAGCCCTTCGCAAGTCCACTGCTGAACATAGGCCTCCCCCAAGGAATGCCACAAAACACGGTCCTGAGCCACCTGCATCCATCGACTTCCTGCATATCTTACCAGGTCGTCACCCCATCTAGTAGGGGGACGCCCTACACTTCGTCAGCCGGTACGAGGCTGGCACTTGAGAACCTTTTTCCCCAACGGTAGTCGGTTCTTCGAGCTATATGGCCGGCCCATTGCCACTTCAGCTTACTAATCCGTTGGGCTATGTCGGTCACTCTGGTTCTACTGCGGATATCCTCATTTCTAAGTTTATCACACAGAGAAACCCCGAGCATAGCCCTCTCCATAGCTCGCTGAGCGACCTTGAGCTTCCTCATACGGCCAGCAGTGAAGGACCACGTCTCAGTACCATAGGTCATCACTGGCAACACGCACTGGTTGTACAGTCTTGTTTTCAAGTATTGAGGTATACCTGACGAGAAGATGTGTCGCAATTTCCCGAACGCTGCCCAACCGAGTTGAATCCGTCGATTGACCTCTCGGTCGAAGTTGGATTTACCTAGTCGGACTATTTGTCCCAGGTAAACATACTCGTCAACAACTTCGAGCTTAGTGCTCCCAACAACTACCGGCATAGGTGTGACATGGACATTAAACATGATCTTTGTTTTGTCCATGTTCATCTTAAGACCTATCCGTTGGGAAACACTATTGAGGTCATTGAGCATAGTGCTTAGGTCCTCTAGCGATTCTGCCATAAGGACTATATCGTCAGCAAATCGAAGGTGAGTGATGTACTCGCCATTGATGTTAATAGCGTATCCTTTCCAGTCCAGAAGCTTGAAAACGTCTTCCAATGCAGCGGTGAAAAGTTTCGGGGATATCACGTCACCCTGTCTTACACCTCTCTGCAATTGGATAGGTTTCGTACTCTGGTTCTGTGCTCGGATAGCCATCGTAGCCCTACTGTACAAGCACTTCGATATACCGACAGTCAACTTGGCATCGCTGAAGGAACTGCAGCACCGCCCAAATTTCGACGGAATCAAAGGCTTTCTCATAGTCCACATATGCCAGACATAGTGGCAAATTGTACTCCTCGGACTTTTGCAATACTTTTACAATTTGCCGAAGGGTTGTATGTGGTCGTCAAGTCTGCGCGCGTGACGATTCGTAATGACTCTCGAAAACAGCACGTAGACGCGGCTCAGAAGGGAAATCGGTCTGTAGTTCTTCAAGAGAGCGTTGTCACCTTTCTTGAAGAACAAGACCACCGCACTTCTGCTCCAGGCCTCCGGTGTAGTGCCACATGGAGGACGGAATTAAAGAGCCTCTGAAGGACTTCAAGTACCGGTTTTCCACCCGCTTTCAGAAGCTCCGCTGTAATTCCATCCTCGCCTGGGGCCTCGCCGTTTTTAAGGTGTTGGAGAGCCATTTTAATCTCGCTCAGACTGACGTCCGGGATATCATCGGAATAGTGTCGGATAAGACTCGCTCTTGGATCGTTACTCACACTTACGTGTGGCTCCAACGATGATGTGTACAGCTACCCATAGAAACTCAATCTCACTCAAAATCTCAGGTGTCGCGGAAACGACGCTGCCACACTCGGTCTTCAGCTTCGACAGTTGGCTCTTTCTGGCAGACAGCTCTCTAGCAAAGACTTTGGAGCCCTGGGTCCGCTCGATCGCTTCTTTAATACGAGCAGTATTAAAGTTGCGTAAGTCCCGCCGCATGTATTTGGAGATCTGTCTGTTCAGTTGCCTGTATGCTGTCAAATCTACTGAAGACTGCAGCTTCATATCCCGTCTAACAGCCGGGATATCTACGTGGTAGAGCAATGTTGCAGCTATATTAATAGTATAGTTGTGCACGAATGGGTCGGCTCGACCGGGGAAGGACCACGCTCTCACAGAATACCAGTGTAAAATAGCAGCTTAATGCTGCTGTGTTTCGTATGGTGAGTGTAAAGAACCGGAGACCCTTTTTACTGAAAAAGAGGCATTCCATCTTAGTCCTCACGGGTGATAACGCATCTGCATTTTGATTCGCATATGAGGATAAATGAAGATGTCTATGGGCCACAGCAACCACTTACCATTAGGTAGACTGTGTGCTTGTTTGTCACCCTATCCTATAAAAAAAAAGACTAAGAGTGTGATCGGAGAGTTTTTGTGTTCTTCTGCGGCGGGTCTTGCAAAAGTTAGCTCCGACCGCATGGACAGTTTCCACGAACTTATCATTCATATCGTCCACTGCATTGCAATCTTCTAGGCACTGAAAACGGTTTTGTAGCTCGAGCTGAAAGGTTTCGGGACTTTGGATTAGAGCACGAGGGGGACGGAGCGTTGACGTGTCTAATGAAGTCACCAACTTTCTCTAACCACTCCAACTTAACGTTTAGGTTCAGTGTGCCTCTCACAATTCGGTGATCGCTGCCGGTTTTCACCCTCACGATCACTGACACATCACTGAACAGTTGTCGTCTGGTCCTCACAATGAAGTCAATCTAATTTTTTTTCGAACCGTTGGGGCTCGACCAGGTCTACTTCCTGTGGGGTCACTTCTGGAAGAAAGAGTTCATCATAAAGAGTCCCTCTTTCTCCATGAAGTCGGCCAGCTGCTGGCCCCTTGGGTTCCGTTGCCCTGTTCCGAAATTCCCTACTTTCAGCTCACTGCTTTCTCTTGTGCCTAGTTTCGCGTATGAAGTCTCCCATTAACACCGTATAGCGGGTTTTGGAGGAATGCATGGCTCTAGAGACATCCTCATACATTTCCTCCACCTCCTCATCGGGGTGTGCCGAGGTTGGTGCGTAAACCTGTATGACCTTCAGCGAATACCGTTTGGTGATTCTGAGTATAAGGTACGCAACCCTCGTCGACACACTCCCGATCTTTACAACGTTGTTAACGAGAGACTTGTGGGCGATAAATCCGACACCTCATTGGGACAGATGGTCGCCCTCCCGGTGATAGAGCAAGTTGCCGGATTCGAGGATTACCGTGTCCTCCTCCTCTCTTCGGACTTCGGATAATCCTATAATATGCCAGCGTAACTTGTCTATCTCTTCTTCCAGCTCCATGATCTTCTCGTCAGTCCTCAGGGTGCGTGCGTTGTGTGTTGCCAGGTCGAGTCGTCTTAGGTAGCAACCGAACCTCCACCGGAGATTCTTAGCACCCCCTGCCCCGCCGTTACCATGGTCGCCACCGTAGCCAGGAATAGCGGGGCCGCCGGGGACTGGGGGCCGTCTCTTCGTTACTTTCATGGGGGTATATTGCCATAGTTGCCACGCTTGGCGAGCGGGTTGGCAACCGCAATTTTTTTATTGTTGTTTTGTTGTTATCAGAAAGATGCTGCTGCCTATCCTCTGCCTCAGTTTCCCTCTGACGCCTTTTACGACACCCACGGGAAGATATGGGGTAGTGAGTATTTTTACCCGTCACTACACACTACACATCCTTAATAATGCTTATTTAATTGATTTTGACTGCATTGGTGATGTTCTCATTTATATTGAAGTCGGTTGTACAACATTTTTAATTTTACCACTTGATAATTATCATTTATTTAATTATATCAGTTTTACCTTCGGCAGTCAGTTTCTATTTTCCCAAGGATATATTTTGTAATTCAAGAAAGTTTCTTTTCAACATAATATAAGATAATGATTTCTTATATTTACGCGATCACTTTTGAATAAAACTATTTTTTACGGAATTTATCACGTTCAGTTCAGTTTCGGGTGCTTTACAGCAATCCTTGGGACATCCCCCCCCGTGACCATGGGTTGCTGTTGGTTGGTTAAAATAGTAAATTAAACGTGATAAAATCCGTGAAAAATAGTTTTATTCAATAATATAAGATATTTATGTAGTTACTCATAATTTCTCAAACTTTATTTGTTCCAGGGAGCCTCCGTGACACACTTGTCAGTCTGTCAGTGCTCGTAGCTAGTGTTGTGTCGCTCAATGAGTTCCTGCTAGTTGATGTATTGCACAAGGATCCTTCTAGTATTGCTGAAACAGTGGTGAGCAATTCAAAATAACTTCATCACAACAATCAGTCTCATTGTGTGGATGTGTGTTGCCACAATTTCTGAATACTGTTTTAGATATATCAAAGGTTGTATTAGGGATTGTTTCGATGAAGTCGAATGGTGGCGTGGTGTTGAGTGCAAGTGTACTGAATAGATTCTTAGAGCGTGATTGACTAACTTTAATTTACTTCGATAGCTTATTTACTTTAACTAAACTGACTATTAAGCTGACTGGATTGTATAAAAGAAAGGTGGGACAATTTAAACACTATTTATTTACTACTAGCTGTATCCCGCGGTTTCACCCGCGTATATCACGAATCTGCACTTCGCGACATGCGAACTTCAAAAGAGACATCACTACGGACGGTTGCTGAATTAAAAAAAAGATTTAAAAAGTGAAAAATGTTGCTTAAATTACATGTTTCACGTAATTGGTGGTTATGCATGGTGCAGGTACTGATATAACCTTGAATACGAATTGATTTATTTGGATATAAGGACTAATACCTAGGTACGAATAATGTGGCCTAGTTTGTATCGGCGTTACTATTGTATATTTTAACATGGAAAAGTAGTTATTGTGATATAACTGTAATAGTTAGACACATGGAATCGCGAACTTATTTGTAGATATTACAAAAAAGTCCGCAATTTTATACAGGACTGATGTCCTGTATAAAATTGTAGCACATCATTTTGTTCTATTATTAATAACTTCCGCAGTGTACGCGATATAAGGATTCTTTTTGGTATTTTTTCACACCTTGGTTTACATTACCCTAACTTTTTTCAAAATATTCTATCGCCTATGTTCATCAGGGATAATGTAGGATTCTAATAGTGAAAGAATTTTTCAAATCGGTCCAGTAGTTTCGGCGGCTATTCAATTAAAACAAACAAACAAATAAACAAACAAATCTTTCCTCTTTATATTATTAGTGTAGATATACAATGACAATGTGGCAGTACAATTAATTATTTACAATATGTAATACTAATAGGGGATACACTAGAGGGAGATTACTTGAGTCTTCTTTTACTGCCGCTTGGGAATCGAATAACTCCCAGCGGCCCGATGCCCTTCTTATATTTGCGCGGCGGGGGTTCCTCCGTTGCTGTATTCACATCTGTAGATCACGTGACGTCCGGGCGGGGTGCGGGGTGCGCGGGGCGTAACGGGGTATGAGGGAGCGACGGGGCGCCGGCTGCCTTCGCCGTCCATACAGGTAGAAAATTACATAATTAGCGGCTTCATATTTATTCTCAATTTACTTTGATAAGATAAATGATTTACAATTGTGTGAACATTTTTGCTTTATCTGCCCTAACTCCGAAAAATGAATTATTTATGTACCTGTACGTAGTTTCTGAAAATAGCTGGATGTTTACGACTTCTATGGGAGACAGCCTTCTTCTGTAGTGGACAGCTTATGAACGATAATGAGCAACCAATACTATTTTGGTAAAGAAGATAGCCTATATTGAGGAGAGGTAATAAAGCAAGTAAGAGCCTCATGAAGTATGATACAGACTTAACAACATGCCAATATTTTTTTACTTAATAGATACAGTAACTCATTATTGTTCAATTGCCCCTTAAAATATGGTTATGGACGTATTTATTGTAATAATTTAAGTATTGAATCTATTTCACTGATATAGGTTTGTTTCAATGTCACATTAAATCATGTTAATGAGTCACATATTGCGTTTATCAATATACGAGCGGGGTTAGCACTTATAAGTAGGTCACACATGTTCTGTTGTATTATCTAATACAAATTATTGAAACGAAGTTCCTTATCGGACGGTACGAATTTAGCGGACGGCGGTTAGGCGAGAAAAAGTGTAAGAGTAGACGGTCTTGGCGGTTATAAGGAAGCGAGATTCATATTTATTTATTGTTAAAATATAAGCTTATTTATACAGTATATATAACCAAATCGCTTATATCTATACTAAAATTACAAAACAAAATAAAATACACAAAAAATCACCGATAGTTAATATTAACATCCACAATATAAATTACAGACACAACAATTTATAGTGAGATCTTTTTAATTTATCATAAATAAAATTTAATTAGTTAAACTTATACTATTCTTCTATCGTAGGAAGTTATTTAAGAAAATTAACACATTTTTATACATTACGCTAGGTTTGTCAAAAAATATATCTGCTTCTGGATTGGCCCTGAGGAAACAGTTTATTAGTCTAACGGCTTTTGAGGTGGGACTATTATCCGTGTGTGGGGAGCGCCACGTATGCGGACAGGAAAGGAATCTACGCTTTCGTCTGCCAGCGCCTCGCATATACTGGTCCGGTACATAAAGATGTATGGTCTCACGTACTGCAGGGTTATCTACTTTGTTAGTTAACAAAAAATAATAATGCATAAGTTCTCGCCTACACTATAGGGTATCTAGACCAACCATGTCCGATACAAATGTTGACAGATATAGAAATGGGTAGTACCCATACTTGCGTTTGTACAAATACCTGGCGAACTTTCTTTGTATTTTATAATTGGAATAATATAAATCTCTCTCGCACTTTTCTTGTCTTCTTGAATAAAATCTTCTCGTGTTCTTGAATAAAATAATATTTCTTTCATGGCAAGAAAGAAATATTATTTTATTTTAAATGACGCTTCATTTTAATAGACGCTGGTAATCAATTTATTTGTGTTTGTTAATCAATAATATAACACGTTTATCAATAATAATATACTACGAAGAGTACTTCGTTCCAACAGAGTGTTTCACGACAGTCACGCATGTTTTGTTATACATACATATATCAATTTTACAAATGATATGCAATGCGGTTATAATAAGTGACAACTGTGTAAACCACTTGTATAAAATTATTTGAACATAGAGGTTCTCTGTCCATAAAATAGCCACAATAGCTTAACAGTCGAAATGTTCATATACGATTCAACGGATGGGATTTTTTATAGGAGTAAGAGTAATTAACAAGTCACAATAGTGGATCCATCCAGTTTTATAAGAGTTGACAAAAGACAAGTTCACGATCTTTCGTTCGACTATCTTATCTCAATTGAGAATCAAAATGCAGATGCGTTGTCACACCTAAAGGCTAAGTGTTTTTCGTAACTCATCGTGCATAACACATCAGCATTAGACAATCTTTAACGTTGGTAGAGCCACGCAGCAGTTTTTGCTGTTGCACGTATGGGCCGGCTCGAGCCGGTTTGGTACCACGACCTCACAGAATACCGGCTTGAAGTAGAGGAAATTCCGCTCAAAAACATAACTGCTCGGGGCAAACTAAGCAACAATACCAAGGCGACCCCTGCCACGCTATCCGTGAATTTCTGCAACATCAGGGGACTTCACTCTAACCTAAACGTCGTCCACTACCATCTCGAGATGGCGAAGCCGGCCTTGCTCTTCCTGACCGAGACGCAGGTTTCCTCTCCGGCTGATATTTCGTATCTCTCCTACCCGGGGTACAAATTGGAGCACTCCGGGCTGGAGCCCGAGGCACAAAGGAGTGCTCTATATACAATTCTGTTTATGTGTTAGTGCTGTATTACAGTGTTATATTACAGTGCTATATTACAATTCAACAAGTGAGTGCTATATTACAATTCTGTTTCAACGAACAAACGCAAATAGGTGTGGCATTGTATGCAGAATTGCCAGAGTGCTACTAGTGTTCATGTTATTATGTCGCTAAATCCATCGGAAATCATGATTGCGTGTCACGCCCGATGCAAAGACGATACTGTTCTGTCTTAATAAAATTCAGATCGCCTTGCAACGTGAGTAGGCGAATTAATTCGTACATCAGGCTCGACCTCGGACAAAAGTGAATACGCTTGTGATTGTCTTCCGATTTGCAACACTAAAACATTTATTATGGTGTGATACATTTACGTGACGCAATCTTCGTTTGCGTGTATGTCAGAGAGGACATCTGTTCTCGAGGCCTCGGCAGTCTTGAAGGTTCGGACCTGTCCATCCTTTGGCTACGCGTAGACAGCGACGACCATCCGCGCGTCTACGGGTGCGTCTATAGGTCCCATAGCGATAATGCCGAAACAGACCGACTCATCGACCACGTCCAAATGGCTACAGATTCCTTGCTACAACAGGTCCCGTCCGCAGAGATCGTGATCCTTGGCGATTTTAACGCCCACCATGCCGAATGGCTCGGTTCACGTTTAACCGATCATGCGGGGAGATCTGTTTATGACTTTGCCTTGGCATATGGTCTGACACAACTGGTTACTTCGCCTACGCGGATTCCAGATGTGGAGGATCATACACCTTCCCTGTTGGACCTTCTGCTGACCTCTCATCCGGACGGATATCAGGTTTCCGTTGATGCCCCTCTCGGCTCTTCGGACCATTGTCTGATCCGGAGTGTGGTGCCACTCACGCTCCCTTCGCGGTTGCGTTCTGCAGGTTGCCGCCGTGTTTGGCATTACAGGGCGGCGGATTGGGACGGAATGCGGTCTTTCTTTGCATCCTACCCATGGGGGCGGGTTTGCTTCTTGCCTGATGATCCCAGCGCTGTTGCTGACTCTGTCACTGATGTGGTGCTACAGGGAATGGAACTATTTATTCCATCATCTGTGGTACCCATCGGAGGCAGATCTCAGCTTTGGTTTGGTCGCTCCTGTAAGACTGCATTACGCAGTAAGCAGGAGTGTTATCAAGCCTGGGCTGCGGCTTCGGCGACTCGGGATGTAAACACCAGCACACTTAAAAAGAAGTATAACTTCGCCTCCAGGTCCTTCAAAAGAGTTATTGCCAAGGCAAAGTCAGAGCATATAGGCAGAATTGGCGAGAAACTAGTTCGCCTTCCTTCGGGAACCCGTGCATTCTGGTCTCTCGCCAAGGCTGTCCAAGGGAATTTCTGTAAGCCATCACTACCATCTCTGCACAGGGACGACGACTCACTGGCCCAAGACGCAATAGACAAAGCTGACCTTTTAGGCTCCCTTTTTGCGTCCAACTTGACTCTTGATGACGGGGGGAAAACACCGCCGACCATCCCGCGGTGTGAGTGCTCCATGACGGATGTGCTGTTCTCACAGCGCTCGGTTCGCAAAGCACTCCTCTCCCTGGACATCCAGAAGTCGAGTGGGCCTAACGGAATCCCCCCAATTGTGCTGAGGACGTGAGCTCCGGAGTTGGCACCGGTCCTAACGCGTCTTTTCCGGTACTCCTACTCCCAAGGCGTAGTCCTGAAATCATGGAAGACAGCTTTTGTCCACCCGATCCCTAAAAAAGGCGACCGCTCAGACCCGTCCAACTATAGGCCTATCGCGATCACCTAATTGTTCTCCAAAATAATGGAATCCATTATTAACTGCTAGCTCATCCGGTACCTTGACGATCACCAGCTGATTAGTGACCGCCAATACGGGTTTCGTCGGGGTCGATCAGCTGGTGATCTTCTGGTCTACCTGACCCATAGATGGGCGGAGGCAGTAGAGTCCAAGGGGGAGGCGTTAGCCGTTAGTCTGGACATTGCGAAGGCCTTCGATCGGGTTTAGCACAAAGCGCTTCCTTCGAAGCTTCCTTCCTATGGGCTTCCCGAGAAATTGTGCAATTGGATCACCAGCTTCCTTGCAGATCGGAGCATCAAGGTCGTTGTAGACGGTGCATGTTCTGACTACAAGCTTATTAACGCTGGTGTTCCACAAGGCTGTGTGCTATCACCAACGCTGTTTCTTCTGCATATCAATGATATGTTGCTAACTGGCAACATTCATTGCTATGCGGATGACAGCACTGGTGATGCTCTATACACCGGCCGTGCCAATATTTCTCGGGAAAACGTCGCCGAGTACCGGAACAAACTTGTGTCTGAAGTCGAGTCTTTGCTGAACAAAGTCTCGCATTGGGGGCGACTAAATCTAGTCCAGTTTAATCCTCAGAAGACACAAGTTTGCGCGTTTACCGCTAAAAAGAACCCCTTTGTCGTATCTCCTCAGTTTCAAGGCACTCGCCTTCTTGCCTCAGCAGAGCGGGACAGTATTTCATGCCGGCACACCGCCTGCAACTTTACAAGGCGCAGGTTCGGCCTCACATGGAATACTGTTCCTATCTCTGGGCAGGGGCTCCCCAGTGCCAGCTCCTTCCACTTGACCGCATCCAGCGCAGAGCGGCTCGAATCGTCGACGACCGAGCCCTTTCCGATCGGCTCGATTCATTGGCACTGCGAAGATATGTTGCATCCCTTTGCGTTTTCTTTCGCATCTACCATGAGGAGTGCTCTGAGGAATTGTTCGGATTAATCCCAGCCGCCAAATTTCACGAACGCACATCGCGGCAGAACTCCCGATACCATCCACACCATCTGGATGATTGCCGGTCCACCACTGTGCGATTTAGAAGATGTTTTCTTCCTCGCACGACTTCCTTGTGGAATCGATTACCATCAGCGATTTTTCCGGACCGATACGACTTAGGGACCTTCAAGAAAAGAGCGTACTCCTTTATAAAAGGCCGGCAACGCATCTTCAATTCCCTCCCTGGTGTTGCAGTTGTTCATGGGCGGCGGTAGTCACTTACCATCAGGTGAGCCGCATGCTCGTTTGCCCCCTCTCCTATAAAAAAAATCAGTGAGGCATTCCATCGTAGTCCTCAGGGGTGAAAAGTATTGTTGCGCGCCACTATTAATGTCTTGTACATGGCAACACTAGTTACACTAGCGCCCTCTAGTGTCGAGTAGCAGAACTAGGAGAGTCAAGATCCTTCCAGAAATTTCGGGACCGATATGTACTCGAACATTCTAGATGTCGCTACAGTAGAAGGTTCTGGAAACTATCTGAGGCCCTATATAAGGCCGGTATACACCACGACCGAGTGAGTATTGAATTGGCGATACAAGAGAATACTTCGAAGCGAAATAACTGCGAACTAAAGTGATTGTGTTTTATTATTAGTGTGGTTTTAGATTGTAATTAGTGTTGTGTAATTAAAAGTCAATATTGGTAATTCAATCGGCAGTTTTTAATTGTCTCGAACCCCACGCTCGTAACAGTATACATGATCTTAGTTTGAAGTTGATTCCAGATATACATACTTATATTGCAGCTACTAATCATCTGATCAACTTCCGACTTGTTTCTTTCTCCCTGTAATAAAATAAAAAAAAGCTCGACAATCAAACTTATATTTTGCAATATTATTTGACTTATACCCTAATTATTTCTTCTATACAAGTATGATATATTTCATTTAGAACCATTCCATTATAGCATTTTATTTCACAACGCGTAAGTGTCATAACTCTCAGCACAAAGCAAGAGGCACCCATTTTTCCTTGTGGTATATCAGACGTGTGTTTTACTGCAAGTATTTCACACGAGATTAGCCCGTGAATCTTTATCAAGCAATTCTGTCATAATTAATCTTGTAATATTTTCTAAACTATTATATATTGTAATTTTTACTGGATCTGGTGCTTTTACTTCAATTTTTTTGATTTCTGTTTGTTTAGAGTTAAACCTATGTTGTTTAGTTTTTTTTTCTTATAATGATGTATACAGCCTTTGTCAAAAAAAATGTATTTTGTTTGTAACAATTCATATTGATACTGTCGATGGTGTATATCTAAATAAATAAATAAATATTGTTAAGTGACACGGTGAAGTTGCTAGGCTGTCTATAATTGATATTATAGTATGCATTCATTTATTCTCTTAGTGCATACAAAAGAGTTGTGATGTGTCCTGTTTGGCATGCACTTCTAGACAAATAGGAAAATTTACCGGCGCGGCGTCGGTCTTATAGAACCACAGTCAGTCCTGACTGAATAGGACTTAGCATGGATAATGTCTCAACCATCTGAAACTATCACTATTTAAAACGAAAATCAAATCAGATTAAACGTAAGCCATACATGTTCTAAAGCTAGTCGACCTTGTTCATGTTTTATTTTTATTAGATGTATATAAATGTAGTTTAGTTTCTTCTGTTTGTTACAGACTTGGAAAAAACTGTCTGTCATCAACTTTGGCAGCAACAATATAGAAAATGTTGATTGGGCGATCAAACTGGTGCCGAAACTTCAGCATTTAAGTCTTTCCTCAAATCGACTTACTGAGCTTTGTGATATATCATGCCTTCACGAGCTTCGTGTTCTGAACCTATCTATGAATAGTTTCTCATTGTGCGAGAATTGGCACGCAAAGATTGGTAACATAGTGAGAATTGATTTGTCACAGAATAAAGTTACTTCGCTGCAAGGATTTTCTCGTTTGTACTCCCTGGAAAGCTTAGACCTTAGCTGCAATCTTATAAACGACATAGAAGAGGTCCAATATATATGTAAGTTACCATGTTTAGAGTATCTGTGGTTAACAGCGAACCCAGTGGCAACCTCTATAGACTATAGAGTGAAAGTCATAGAACAATTCAATGCGCGAATGTCTGAGATTTGTTTGGATAACGAAAAAGCGTCAGAGAAAGAAATGGACACTGCAAGGGTTCTGCAGGCTTTGCGAGTTGTGAAAGAAGGCAAAACTCCAAGTTTCCTAGAGAACAGTAACACATCCCATAGTTTTTATAAAAGTTGATAATGAATTGTAACTTTAAAGTAACAATTTTCTTATATCACAGATTAATATTTGAATTGTGTATTAAAATATAGGGAATATAATGTAAAAATATAATGTATTGACATATAGGGAATATAAGTTTAACTAGTTAATTTGTGAAAAAATGATTTGAATCATTGAATATAAAATAAACTTTTGAATTTGGAAATGTACATACATACCTGCAATTAATGATGAATTTAAAATAATACTTTGATCCAGTAAAATGCACTGAAATGATTTGCTACTATCAATATAGTAACTTAATATTTTTTTACATATTTTGTACCTGCAGAAAATGTTGCAAAATGTATATTATATGTGATGTGATGTATATTTGTGACAATTCTAGGAGATACAGTTGTATCTGTGAATAATGATGTAATAATAGTTTTATCCTTTTTTTTATTAAATGATATTTATTTAAGTTTTAATTAAACTATCAAGTATCAAAACATCCGTAAGAGTATTGGTACCCAGGTTTCAAATTGTATCAAACTATATAACTGACGGCCCCGTGGCGCAGTGGCTTAGCAATGAGTTGTTGCGCTGGGGGCCGCGGGTTCGAATGCCGCACGGAACAAGTATTTGTATGGCCTACAAATAATTGTTCTGGATCTAGATGTTTATCCTTGTGCAATTTATGTTTGTAAACTGTCTCCACGACACAGGAGAAAATCCTAGTGTGGGGGTACCGTTTTTTAAAATAAAAAATATTGGACAATAATGGAGTTAGGTCTGAGTAACATTCCACTTATTTGCCGGGTGCTTTCCTATTTTTTAATTAATAATTGTTATTTGTTTTAATATTTTTCTATTGCCATCTCATCAAATGTGGTGTCAGGCAGAAATTCTATTTTGTAGTGTCATTTTGACCTTAAAGTTGTGATATCAAAAAAAATGCTAAAGTTTTAGTCGTAATTGTGTGGTTTTTGATGACTTTACCATAAGTGACATAACAGTAAGGTTCTATTTTAATGTGTTTACTGTTTTACGTTGGTAAGACCAAATTGCCCTAACACTTGGTATATTTATTAAGTTTACTCCATAGTATTAACTTATTAGTATTATAATTATTGTGATTATAATGTAATGTACTTGTTTATGATGTGCTGTTAAACCTATAAAGAAAACTCATTGAAATTATTTTGCAGTTTTTTATTCAAAATTATACATCTTTTACAATGTAATCTAAAGGATTAGCATATAACTATTTTTAACCCTTCCAGTAATTTTATATTTTGTGTATGCTACATAATTACATGTGGTATATCTTATAAATATAAAAGCACAAACAATCCGACTATTCTAATGATCAGGATGTGACAAATAACATTAAAATATTATTTAACCTATACAAGAGTGCGTTCCTCGCGTTGTTACCTTTATTAGTTGTGTAACTCCAGTTTTTTTTTTTTTTAAAAATTACCTCAATAATCTAGTTGGTATAGTATTAAATACATCAAATATTTTATAGGGTTAAGATACGTTTTAATTTAAAGCTTAAATTTTTATGTAGCTTTATACAAATATTTTTTTTTACTATGCACATATTTTTGGTTAAGAGAAATAAAAAATAAATGTAATTTTTTTGACAATCTATCGTGATGATCTTTTTAGACCTCTTATAATGCAATACCTTATACTACTAACCAAGACCGGATTTAAGGGAGAGCAACAAAAGCTAAAGAATCGGAGCCTTTACTATACACAATTTTCAAGACTTATAAAAAAGTGATTAATCCCCACTTGGCATTAAGAAAGATTTACTTTAGACACTAGTAGATAATCTGGTAAAATAAATTTCGTTTAACTATACAAATTAATAATATTTATTTGTATTTTGCGATAACATTTATTATAATTGGGCTACTTATTGAAATAGTATTCTCTTCTAGTTGGGCTGTATAAATAAATATACTTAATAATATGTTAATAGTATGTTATTATTATCATCATCATAATGGCCCATCAAAGTTCACTGCCAATGAATGATAGGTCTTCCCAAAGAACAAGTGTTTATTAAAAAAAATAACTCACAAATTTTATATTTCTGTGAAAAACAAAAAAATAGTCTCGTTTAAGAAGCTGTTAGGGGGTTTCCATTTGTTTGTAACCCCATTGTCTCAATTCCTTTAAATCCGGTCCTCAATATCATTGTAATAAAAACACTACCCTCAATCACTCATTAAATTATAACATCCAACAATTGATAAGTACTAACATGTCCACAACCAGTCTTAGTTTCAATATGACGTAAATACTTATTATTATTGCTGTATTTACTACAGACAACATTAGGACGTTTATTACTAGCCTCGTTATAAGTATTTTATTATAAATATAACTGGGTGTTAACTTATATCTAAAAAAGTTACAGAGAGACTACAACTCAATTATTACTTCACCAACAAAAAATATAGTAAATACAGAGTATTGATAATAATTAATACGAAAACTATTTTGCTACCTTTTAAAAAAATCAAACATCAAACTCAAAACTAACTCCAGCATAGTTGTAAATAACATATTTGTGAATAACTTAGAATTAACCAAGTCTTAATGCTTAATGTCTTTGTCAAGTTGCAAACTGTGGGTAACAGTTAAACAAGTAATATAAACAAACACACCAATAACAAACCAAACAAGATTTTTTTTTTAAATTTAATGTAAGTATTATTTCAACAATCATATTTTATATACCTAATAAGGCACAGGAAAGCTTATACAGAATATAACCCTTTTAAAAATAGAAATTTTGTGCACCTATTACTGCACTTATTTGTTAATAAAAAAATGATTCATTGCAAATACATTTTTTAAACATTATTTTTGCGTGTAAGGAATGTAAAGAAAGGAAAGTAAGGAATGAAAATGAAGTTGATTTGAGTAAAATAATAACTTAAAAAAAAAACAGAAAGAATAAAAGGACGTCAGTTGTGTGTACTCGCGAAAATAATATTTTGTTAGCTTACAAGTAGACAGAATAAATGAAACTGGATTTGAAACTTAAATATTATGCGAAGTCAGAAATGTCAAATTCCATAGCAATTAAAATCAAGATACGGTAAATGTAAAATCTTTACTACAGCATTGTATAATTGTAAATAAATGTTAAGTCTAGCATCCCGCTAAATTAGGCAACGTAAAATGCCACTTCTCATCTGTGGTCTGGTACAGAGGTGCTCGAGCTCGAACGCCGCTCGCTGTGGGTCTCTGAGATGGATCTTCACTGAGCATCAATTTCAATACTTCAGTCTGCAAAGGTTAATATTACACATTTAATTAAAACTATTGGTCGAAATTTGACCATAATTCATTAAATTTTAGGTGTGTATATTAAGGTTTATTTTACTTTCAACTGCACGTTAATTTATAAAACACAGATATGTTATATATGAAATAAACACTTTTGCCTTGACATACACTCCACACAATACTGAAAAGGGAACATTTGGTATCACACAAAATTCACAGCTTATTTAGTCAATCTGTTAGAAATTAATTGTTGGCAACATTTTAAAATTCTTTGGCAATAATCTCTACTTTGTTTCCTTATTAAGTTTTTTGGCTTGAATGCTTGTCCTTAAAGCCATCCTCTACTTTGGCAACTATTTGAACATAGACTATAGAGTGTTTGACCTCCTAGGCATTAGAGTAATAACATAAATAAGCTTGTCCTTACTCTAGAGATATTGGTAATATCAACATCAACAACCGACAAAATTTGTCCAAGCGACAAATAAGTGTACGCGGACAGTATGAATGTAAACAATAAATGTTTTATTTAATTTAATACATATATAAATATATTTTGCAGTGTAGTGGCGGTTAAGAATATCCACTACCCCATATCTTCCCGTGGGTGTCGTAAAAGGCGACAAAGGGAAGGCAGGAGATGGGCAGCAGCATCTTCCTGATAACTGGATACAAACAATAAAAAAACTACGGTTGCCAACCCGCTTGCCAAGCGTGGCAACTATGGCAAATACCCCCCCCCCTATGATGAGAGTAACAAAGAAACGGCCACCAGTCCCCGGCGGCTCCGCTATTCCTGGCTACGGTGGCGACCATGGTAACGGCGGGGCAGGGGGTGCTAAGAATCTCCGGTGGAGGTTCGGTTGCCACCTAAGACGACTCGACCTAGCAACATACAACGCACGCACCCTGAGGACTGACGAGAAGATCATGGAGCTGGAAGAAGAGATAGACAAGTTACGCTGGCATATTATAGGATTATCTGAAGTCCGAAGAGAGGGGGAGGACACGGTAATCCTCGAATCCGGCAACTTGCTCTATCACCGGGAGGGCGACCATCTGTCCCAAGGAGGTGTCGGATTTATCGTCCACAAGTCTCGTTAACAACGTTGTAAAGATCGGGAGTGTGTCGACGAGGGTTGCGTACCTTATACTCAGAATCACCAAACGGTATTCGCTGAAGGTCATACAGGTTTACGCACCAACCTCGGCACACCCCGATGAGGAGGTGGAGGAAATATATGAGGATATCTCTAGAGCCATGCATTCCTCCAAAACCCAATATACAGTGTTAATGGGAGACTTCAATGCGAAACTAGGCACAAGAGAGAATGGTGAGCTGAAAGTAGGGAAATTTGGAATAGGGCAACGAAACCCAAGGGGCCAGCAGCTGGCCGACTTCATGGAGAAAGAGGGACTCTTTATGATGAACTCTTTCTTCCAGAAGCGGCCCCACAGGAAGTGGACCTGGTCGAGCCCCGACGGTTCCACAAAAAATGAGATTGACTTCATTATGACAACCAGACGGCAACTGTTCAGTGATGTCTCCGTGATCGCGAGGGTGAAAACCGGCAGCGAGTTAGAGGCACACTGAACCTAAACGTTAAGTTGGAGAGGTCTCGTCTAATGAAGTCAACGCTCCGTCCCCCTCGTGCTCTGTTCCAAAGTCCCGAAACCTTTCAGCTCGAGTTACAAAACCGTTTTTAGTGCCTAGAAGACTGCAATGAAGTGGACGATTTGAATGACAAGCTCGTGGAAACTGTCCATGCGGTCGGAGCTAAGTTCTGCAAGACCCGCCGCAGAAGAACACAAAAACTCTCCGATCACACTCTCAATTTCATGGCTGTTAGACGGGAGATGAAGCTACATTCTTCAACAGATTTGACAGCATACAGGCAACTGAACAGACAGATCTCCAAATGCATGCGGCGGGACTTACGCAACTTCAATACAGCTTGTATTGAAGAAGCGATCAAGCGGAACCAAGGCTCCAAATTCTTTGCCAGAGATCTGTTTGCCAGAAAGAGCCAACCTTCAAAACTGAAGACCGAGTGTGGCAGCATCGTTTCCAGGGCACCTGAGATTTTGAGTGAGATTGAGAGGTTATATGGGCAGCTGTACACGTCATCGTTGGAGCCACACGCAAGTGTGAGTAACGATCCAAGAGCGAGTCTTATCCGACACTATTCCGAAGATATCCTGGACGTCAGTCTGAGCGAGATTAGAATGGCTCTCCAACACCTTAAAAACGGCAAGGCCCCAGGCGAGAATGGAACTACATCGGAGCTTTTTTTATATAGGATAGGGTGATAAACGAGCACACAGTCCACCTGATGGTAAGTGGTTGCTGTGGCCCATAGACATCTACATTTATCCTCGTTTGCGAATCAAAATGCAGATGCGTTGTCACCCGTGAGGACTAAGATAGAATGCCTCTTTTCCAGTAAAAAGGGTCTCCGGTTCTCTACACTCACCATACGAAACACAGCAGCATGAAGCTGCTATTTGACGCTGGTATTCTGTGAGAGCGTGGTCCTTCCCCGGTCGAGCCGACCCATTCGTGCTACAACTATACTACTAATATAGCTGCAACATGGCTTTACCACGTGGAGCTTCTGAAAGCGGATGGAAGACCGGTACTTGAAGTCTCCTTCAGAAGCTCTTTAATTCCGTCCTCCATGGTGGCATTACACCGGAGGCGTGGAGCGTAGCGAGCGAAGTGCGGTGGTCTTGTTCTTCAAGAAAGGTGACAACGCTCTCTTGAAGAACTACGGACCGATTTCCCTTCTGAGCCGCGTCTACGTGCTGTTTTCGACAGTCATTACTAATCGTCTCGTGCGCAGACTTGACGACTTCCAGCCTCCCGAACAAGCCGGTTTCCGAAAGGGCTTTAGCACCATAGACCACATACATACCCTTTGGCAAATTGTACAAAAGTCCAAAGAGTACAATTTGCCACTATGTCTGGCGTATGTGGACTATGAGAAAGCCTTTGATTCCGTCGAAATTCGGGCGGTGCTGCAGTCCCTTCAGCGGTGCCAAGTTGACTGTCGGTATATCGAAGTGCTGAAGTGTTTGTACAATAGAGCTACAATGGCTATCCGAGTACAGAACCAGAGTACGAAACCTATCCAATTGCAAAGGTGTAAGACAGGGTGATGTTATATCCCCGAAACTCTTCACCGCTGCATTGGAAGACGTTCTTGGACGTTGGAAGGTTCTTGAGTGGCAGCCTCGTACCGGTAGGCGAAGTGTAGGGCGACCCCCCACGAGATGGAGTGACGACCTCGTAAGACATGCAGGAAGTAGATGGATGCAGGTGGCTCAGGACCGTGCTTTGTGGCATTCCTTGGGGGAGGCCTATGTTCAGCAGTGGACTTATGAAAGGCTGTAATGATGATGATAAATATATTTTATTTCCACTCCTCCGTGCGCACAATTATCTTAAAAATCTCTTCACCTTCTTTCGATGTGCCGTGTGTGTCTTAAGCTCGTAAGAAGCTACTATGGGATACCAAGGAGATTTTATGTTTTTAATAGATGGCAGTATAAAACTATCTCGTTAATACCAAGAGTAAACATACCCAGACGGCCGAGAGGAAGTCACGTCAATGATACGCTAAACGTTACTGCGATTCTCAATCCGCCAAGTGTGATTAAGGCATATACTCCCTACAGCCGGACAGACTTATTGCTTTTATTTGTCATTATTAGGTGGTACATCGCACGGTCTTATCGTAATAGAAGATCTTTTTCCTTAACTGTTCCACTCCTTTGCTGTGTGCATTATGAACGACAAAGCAAACGGTTTTGCTCAAACATTTAGAATGTCGACAACAAGGGAATGGATATCCACCATAGATTTAGTATATACTTAGATTGGCAATGTAAAAGAGAAAGGGCATAGCATATGTTTACGTTAGAACGAGATAGAATGGCTAGACCATACACGTACACGCTATCAGCCTGTATCAGCCTGACGTCAATGGTTAACGAAACAAATCCGGCTTATTTTCGCGATATTTTTTATTTTAAAGTATTAATAAGTATTTAAAAGGTGTGATTAAGTATGGTGACGTGTGCCGTACCTGAATACAGTTCATCCAGAAACGAAAATCCACAAAATTATACATTTCACATGTAAGTACAATTAAAATGTTTAGCACTCTAACTTCACTATTTCACAACTAGTACAAATGTTTTATACACAAATGGCCAGGGAAAAATATCGCATTTTATTACGATAATAATCTAAATGCATGAGAATTATATTAAAAATAATAACAAATACGTGAATTCCCGCTATTTCTGATCAAATTTTTGTAGGGATTGACACTATCAATATCATCTTATCGATAATATGTTTATAACAGGCAAAGGCATATCCTTGGATACAGCCTCTTGTGACTTCGTAATTTTTTTAACTTTCTATTTTTAATTTTTAGTTTTTCGTAAAAGTAAATACTTACACATTATAGTAAATACTTTAATGAGATGATTTAAACTCTTATTGTGTACTGTTACAGATTTCCAAAAAATAATGAGGTTAAACAAAAATGGTTAAAAATGATAAATAGAGAAGAATGGGTTCCCAAAAAAAATTCAACTATATGTAGCAAGCACTTTGAACAAAAATGTTTTTCTCATAGAAGTGCACAATGAGTAAAGCTGCGTTCTGGATCAATACCCACATTATTTATGCCCGTGCATAGTTTTTTAATTACTTATATATTTTACTGTACATATCTTAATTTCGTTTGCGCATGTTTAAATGTGTACAACGTGTTGTTGTCATTCTCGTGATGTATATTTTTTTATAAAGAAACTTACAGTATCACTTGATGGTAAATGGCTACTGCAGTACATGGTCACCTATAGTCATCTTAAAATAAAGAAAGCTACAAATGTGTTTTCACCCCTGAGGACTAACATAAAATGTCTTGTAGCCTATAACTATACAGGCTCTCTATACTCAACAGGCTGAAACGCGGCAATGCATTACTGTTTAGCGCTAGTATAAGCTCTGCTGTTTAGCGGCAGAAATAGGTAAAAGGGTGGTACTTTATTTTAATCATAGATAAGCTTGTACATAATGTATGCACTAATTATATTTGTTTTTTGTAGGTTGTATTGAAGCCGGTACGCAAAGCATCCTCATATGTCTACAGAGATATATTACTAGTACCCAGTAGCTCAACTGCAAACATTTCTGCTATAGACAATTCGCCGAGAAAGAAAAAACTGAAAAAGACTATTGATATTCTTCGGAGAAGATTAGATATGAAACAAAAAAAAACTGAAAAATGTAAGAGCACAAAAAAACGGGCTAATGAAAAAGTGGAAAAGTTGTCTCAAGTGATAAAAAACTTAGAAGCAGAAGCAGAAGAACACAAAAACTCTCCGATCACACTCTTAATCTCATGGCTGTTAGACGGGAGATGAAGCTACATTCTTCAACAGATTTAACAGCATACAGGCAACTGAACAGACAGATCTCCAAATGCATGCGGCGGGACCTACGCAAATTCAATACAGCTCGTATTGAAGAAGCGATCGAGCGGAACCAAGGCTCCAAAGTCTTTGCCAGAGATCTGTCTGCCAGAAAGCGCCAACTGTCAAAGCTGAAGACAGAATGTGGCAGCATCGTTTCCGGGGCACCTGAGATTTTGAGTGAGATTGAGAGGTTCTATGGGCAGCTGTACACGTCATCGTTGGAGCCGCACGCAAGTGTGAGTAACGATCCAAGAGCGAGTCTTATCCGACATTATTCCGATGATATCCCGGACGTCAGTCTGAGCGAGATTAGAATGGCTCTCCAGCACCTTAAAAACGGTAAGGCCCCAGGCGAGGATGGAATTACAGCGGAGCTTCTGAAAGCGGGTGGAAGACCGGTACTTGAAGTCCTTCAGAAGCTCTTTAGTTCCGTCCTCCATGGTGGCATTACAGCGGAGGCGTGGAGCAGAAGTGCGGTGGTCTTGTTCTTCAAGAAAGGCGACAACGCTCTCTTGAAGAACTACAGACCGATTTCCCTTCTGAGCCGCGTCTACGTGCTGTTTTCGAGAGTCATTACGAATCGTCTCGCGCGCAGACTTGACGACTTCCAGCCTCCCGAACAAGCCGGTTTCCGAAAAGGCTTTAGCACCATAGACCACATACATACCCTTCGGCAAATTGTACAGAAGTCCGAGGAGTACAATTTGCCACTATGTCTGGCGTATGTGGACTATGAGAAAGCCTTTGATTCCGTCGAAATTTGGGCGGTGCTGCAGTCCCTTCAGCGATGCCAAGTTGACTGTCGGTATATCGAAGTGTTGAAGTGCTTGTACAGTAGGGCTACGATGGCTATCCGAGTACAGAACCAGAGTACGAAACCTATCCAATTGCAGAGAGGTGTAAGACAGGGTGACGTCATATCCCCGAAACTCTTTACCCCTGCATTGGAAGATGTTTTCAAGCTTCTGGACTGGAAAGGATACGGTATCAACATCAATGGCGAGTACATCACTCACCTTCGATTTGCCGACGATATAGTCCTTATGGCAGAATCGCTGGAGGACCTAAGCACTATGCTCAATGACCTCAATAGTGTTTCCCAGCGGATAGGTCTTAAGATGAACATGGACAAAACAAAGATCATGTTTAATGTCCATGTCACACCTATGCCGGTAGTTGTTGGGAACACTAAGCTCGAAGTTGTTGACGAGTATGTTTACCTGGGACAAATAGTCCGACTAGGTAAGTCCAACTTCGACCGAGAGGTCAATCGACGGATTCAACTCGGTTGGGCAGCGTTCGGGAAATTATGGCACATCTTCTCGTCAGGTATACCTCAAAACTTGAAAACGAGACTGTACACCCAGTGCGTGTTGCCAGTGATGACATACGGAACTGAGACGTGGTCCTTCACTGCTGGCCGGATGAGGAAGGTCAAGGTCGCTCAGCGAGCTATGGAGAGGGCTATGCTCGGAGTTTCTCTGCGTGATAAACTCAGAAATGAGGATATCCGCAGTAGAACTAGAGTGACCGACATAGCCCAACGGATTAGTAAGCTGAAGTGGCAATGGGCCGGCCATATAGCTCGAAGAACCGACAACCGATGGGGAAGAAAGGTTCTCGAGTGGCAGCCTCGTACCGGCAGGCGAAGTGTAGGGCGTCCCCCCACTAGATGGAGTGACGACCTGGTAAGATATGCAGGAAGTCGATGGATGCAGGTGGCTCAGGACCGTGCTTTGTGGCATTCTTTGGGGGAGGCCTATGTTCAGCAGTGGACTTGTGAATGGCTGTAATGATGATGATGATGATGAATCATCATGGCTATGTAGATGTGGGTAATGGTATCCATGGAGATCAAGTAGACAAGGCTAAAGAGGTATTGGTAATCATGGCAGTGGCAATCAATTCTTTTTGGAAAATTCCAATTGCTTATTTTTTTTGGAAGAGGATTTATTGCTTTACAGAAAGCAACACTTCTAAAGCAGTGTATTGCTTCATTATCAGATTTTGTAAAAGTTGCTTCTGTTACTTTTGATGGCATAGCATCTAATATAAATATGGCACAAATACTAGGAGCTAATTTGAGCACCACTCCATTTAGACCATACTTTTACTATAGAGGGCAAAAATATTACGTAATATTAGATGCGTGTCATTTATTAAAGTTGATAAGAAATACTTTTGCAGAATACAAAAATTTGTATCATCATAATGATATTATTAAATGTGAATTTGTTGAAAATCTCTGCCAGCTTCAACATTATGTCGGTTTGCATTTGGCAAATAACGTAACTAAAAAACATAACAATTTTGTAAATCACAAAATGAAGTACGATTAGCGGCGCAACTGTTGAGTAATTCTGTTGCAACCAGCTTAGAGTTTTGCAAAGAAGTATTAAAATTACCTATGTTTGAAAATTGTCAAGCGACAGCAGGTTTTATAAAACATATAAACAACATATTTGACATTTTCAACTCCAGAAATTTACTCAGCTACGGATTTACGGTCTTAAATGCAAATAATGTTGAAAATGTTATAGCTGAATGTGACAAAGTGTGTGAATTTATTAAAAATTTAAAATACAACAACCAAGCTTTGATAGAGAGTCGAAGAAAACTTGGTTTTATCTGTTTTTTGGCGAATACAATAGCTTTGAAGTGGCTATATGTCGATTTCATAGAGTCAGGAAAATTAAAGTTTCTTCCGACCTATAAACTCTCTCAAGATCATATAGAAACTTTTTTTAGTGCAGTACGTTCTAGAGGAGGATTTAACAACAATGCTACAGCCAGACAATTCACAGCAGCATACAAACGATTAATCTGCCACTTGGAAGTCCAAATCAGCGATAAAGCCAATTGTTTGCCTTTGGAGAATATTAGTTTCCTCAACATACAAAGATCGTGTACTATAGATATAATAAATACTACAACTGGCCTTAGTGCAATAACGACGCCAAACGACGATGCGGCTATTGGCCCAGGCCAAATAGATAATGAAGATTCTGATTTCGTATCATCTATGCCATGGATACCTGAAGGCATGGAATCTGTAGTGTAGTTAAGTCCATTGTTCAGTACATATGTGGTTACGTGGTGAAAAAAATCGCAAATAAAATTAAATGCAAATCCTGTGTAAATGTACTTTACGGTGAAGTTAAGGAAGGTTCACTAATAAACATGAAAGACGTAGGTGGCCTCGTGAATCCCTCTCAAGACGTTTATGAGATAGGTGTCTTATCTGAACGAGTTTTCCGAAAACACGTAAAAGGAAAAATTGTAAACGAAAACATATTTCAAAAAATAGTAAACGAATGCCTTGTGTCCTGGAAACATTTTTTTAACATACTTGACATACATATGTACGATTCGCCAGCATTATCAAACCATAAACACTTAATTATTAAATTAATAATTGAAACTTATTTGGTTATCAGATTAAAGTATGAAGCAAAATTGCAAAATACCTCTAAGGAGAGCTTGCGACATTTTTACAATAAATTAGTTATTTTTGGTGGAAAATAAAAATCACAAACTTTTTGTTTGTAGTTTTATTTTTATGCCCTCAAACATAATAATATTCATTTTATGACAGACACAGCGTTCTGTATCGATAATTAAAGTTGATACATGGCGCAGCACTACTGTTGTCGCACACATGCACATTTCACTCACACGGGTACATTTCGTTTTTGGTCTCACCCTAATCACGCCATCGCCAATCTAATGTATACTATATCTATGATATCCACCGAGCGTCTTGTTCGCTGTTTGGACCAATTCGCTTTAAGATGTTTTAACTCAAAGAAATAAGTACTCACTTCGGCAGGATACGTTTGCAGGAAGGCTTGGGGGAAACAACCTTTCCGTAGACGCAGCAAACAAGCCACGCGTTCCGACTCGGTGCCGAACGGATACAACAGCTCAAACAGCACTAAGCCCAGGGAATAGATGTCCACTTTATAACTGTAAGGCCTTCCAATTAGCTGCTCCGGGGACATGTACAGGTGAGTTCCTGGAATTTAGATAATAGGTTTGTGAATATGAGAGAAAGTACGGAATCTCATATTCCCATATTTTAATGGGCTATATTTAAACATAGACTGTTTTATAAAAGCTTTTAGAAAAATTTACTTCGCAAATATCCGCGTTATAAAATAAAATGATGTATCTTACCTAGTATGAAGAGCACCTCCTGCCCTCCCTCAATTGCGTGCACTATCCCCGTCACCACTAATCCCAGCACCGCCACTCCCAACACCACTACACTAGGCAAGACACCACTGACGATAATACGACACGTGTTTCGCCTCTACACGAGGCATCCTCAGGTGATATAGACTCTACGGTGGCTAACCGCTAAGTGAGCGGCGAGCCAAAACAAGTGCCTTTTATACAGACAAACAAGGAGTGGTCGTTGGCTAGGTTGTGTCCAGTGTTCAAAAGATGTTTGGTAAAATGGGATTTATCGGGATTGCAATTCCTGTACGCGGCTAAATGCTCTTTATAACGTGTCTCGAAATTGCGACCAGTCTGACCCACGTAAACGGCGTGGCATTCGTCACAAACAAGTTTGTGAACACCTGACTTTTGACGAATATCCAACTTATCTTTATTATTATAGATATTTCTAAGAGAATTTTTTGTTTTGAACGCCACATAAACGCCGTTTTGTCGAAGAATATTAGCTACTTTTTCAGATATGGGGCCTAAGTAGGTCAAACTGCTCACATATCGATGAACACTTTGAGGTTGAACCGCGTACAAAGAGTTGCGAACAACATGCTTTTGTTTCTTTTTAATTAAATTGTTAATGAGATTTTTTGAAAAACCGTTAGAGACCGCTATTTGATAAATTATTTTATTTATTCTTTATTGCATTCCTTAAAACAAAAGAATACAAAGGGCGGACTTAATGCCTTGAGGCATTCTCTACCAGTCAACCCATGGAGTGGTGAGAATTTGACGTAGGTGCGGCAATATAGAATAAAATAACAGTACACAAAATAATAATTAACTACATAATACATACAATTTACTAATAAATAAACTATACATATATGACGTATACAAACATATATACATACAAATATACATATTTAAATACATAATATATAATTAGTACATAGAAATACCTATGAATATATGCGTCTGTTTAGCAATACATATCAAATGGATGAATCAAGTAAAATGCTTTGTCTTCAATAGATGATTACGGACCAATTTTTTGAAAACATACTTATTGGATGTTTTTCTGATGTCATCGGGCAAGGAGTTCCAAAGGCGTGTAGCCTGAACTGTGAAGGAGTTGCCATAGAACTCGGTGAAGTGAACAGGAATACAGATTTTGTTGTTAGAAGAAGAACGTAAGACCCTATCATGAGATGAGGAGAGATAGTGAAACTTACTCTTAAGATAAGAAGGCGAAAATGGGTTATTTATAATGGAAAAAAGAACAAGCAATATTCTGGAATTGCGCCTCTGACGGATTGTAAGCCAATTTAGCTTAGATCTATATTGCGAAATATGGTCATACTTACGAAGCCCGAAAATAAATCGTATACAGTTGTTAAGAAGGCGTTCCAGTTTGTTCAGAAGATCTTGGGACAGATCTGGGTAACACACATCTGCATAATCAATTATGGGTAATATGAGCGAATGGACAAGCATGATTTTAGTTTTTGTGGGAAGAAAATGTTTTAGACGATACAGAGAGCATAAAGTGGCAATGACTCACTTCTGAAACCTGGGTTCTCCAATTCAACGTGCTGTCGATATGTAGGCCAAGATTTTTAACAGAATTACTGAACGGAATTATAATACTATCATAATAAATAGGAGGTAAATCTACCAGATTAATCTTAGCTAGCATTCTTGAGCTACCCACTAGTATAGCTTGGCATTTCAAAGGATTGACCAAAACTCCATAACGAGTAGACCAATCTTTGATAGCTGATAAGTTGTCGTTAAGTTTTTTGATCCCATTATGTATATCCTCAAATTCAGTTTGCACATAAAGCTGAAGGTCATCGGCGTACAAATGATACGAGCAGTCGAGGATGGAGGTAATAAAGTTTATGAAAATTGAAAATATTATAGGAGAAAGAATACCGCCTTGCGGCACACCAGCTTCCACATCAGCCCAAGCTGAGGACATTTGCCCCACACAGACTGACTGCTGTCGACCGCGAAGATAAGATGCAAACCATTCCAAAGCAGTTGGACCAAAATTCAGGTGAGATAGTATGGAAAGGAGGATTTCATGATCAACTGTGTTGAAAGCATTTGAGATCAACTAGTACCAGTACTATTATCTTTCTTTCTTCCATACCTTGTCTAATATTATCAGTAACATTAATTAAAGCAGTAGTGGTACTATGACCAGGGCGAAACCCAGACTGAAATATACTCAGTAGGTTATGTTTCGAAATAAAAGTAGAGATTTGCTTGTAAACACAAGATTCTAAAATTTTGGAAAGAAAGGGTATATGGATATTGGGCGAAAATTATTGGGAAGAATGGGAGTATGAACTTTTGGGAGAGGCTAAGCCCTCTTTCAAAGATTAGGGTACTGACATGAATCAAGGGAAAAATTGATGATATGGGAAATTGCAGGAAGAAGGTGCTCTAGTATAAATACTACCATATGTGTACTAATCTCATCATAACCCACCGCCTTGGATTAGATTGCTAAAATAGACTTTTTGACATCATCCTGAGAAACAGGAGAAAAATTAAAGGTAGGAATGTTAGGAGTTTGCATAGAAGCAATGGATGTCATAGTTTGGGAGCGAATTGTAGGGTCCAATGCTTTTACAGAAGCGAAATGTTGGTTGATTTCATCGAGTGATAGAGAAGGACGACAATCCAATGTAGCTGGCCTGCAAAGACCAAAAGATCTTAGAAATTTCCACACTACGGCTGGTGAAGAGTTATTAATACAATTATGGAAATATCGGCGTTTAGCTGCACGTACCATCTGATTACACCTATTCCTGGCTGCTTTAAAAGATAACCAATTTTCTTCAGTACGATCTCTCTTGAAACGAGGAAAAGCTCGATTTTGTCTAGACATTGCCAACCGTACGCCCTCTGTCATCCATGGGGCAGGCGGACGCTTCAATCTGACCTTATGAACTGGAGCATGAGCATCATAGGGGCTGAGAACATTGTGGTTAAGAATCAAGACTTTATCGTCAACAGTAGGTGCTGCAATTAGAGGCTAGATCGAGATTAAGAGCGTCATTTTTTATTTTGTCAAAGTCTATTTTAGAAAAGCTGCGGAGATGCATTACAGTAGGTGAATATTTGGGTGGTTTAAGCTTATACGAAGCATAAATCAAGTCATGGCGTGAGATACCCAAAGCGGGTAACTGACCGTGTATCATCACACGTTCAGGAGAAGCAGCAAGGATTATATCAATCAATGAGTCATCGGTTCCGATATTATGATGAGTAGCCTTTAAAGGGAGAATAGAAAGATTAACCGACTCAATAATTGAAAGAAGCTTTTTGGAACGAGGGCAGCTTTTCAACAGATCTGTATTAAAGTCATCTATGATTATACAGTGTGTATACTCAGAACAAATATCAGTGAGAGCCATATCTAAAGTGGCGAAGTAGTCAGTCGAAGGGGGGCAATACACTACCCCTAGAAGCATCCTGATGCCCTTGACATCGAGTTCCACAAATAAAAACTCAGAAGTAGCAGAATAGCAGGAAGGAGATGTTAGAACAACTTTGTGAGGAATTGATGCGTGTAGGTAGATGGCTACACCACCTCCACCTTTTCCAACACGATCATTTCTAACGAGTACAAAGCCAGGAAGGGGATATAAAGTTGACGGTAAAGTAGGCTTCAGCCAACTTTCCGACACTAATATGGCATGAATATACTCGGGGAAAAATGAAGCTTCAAGTTCGGAATAGTGGCTCGGGATACTTTGAGCGTTAATATGGCATATGTTCAGAGAGTTGTTAAAAGATGTACAAACTCCTTTGAGTAGTTCATGTAAATTAAGAACGCTATCATTGAAAGAATCATCACAAGAGTGAAAAGATAAACTAGAAGATTCATTTGCTAAACAACTCAACGTCAGACATAGTTTATGGACTAAAATAAAAATAAATTAAATAAATATAAAAAAAATTAAAATAAATACACAAAAAAAAACTTAGGAATGTACACTTAAGACTAATTTATAAACTAACACTTACTAAACATAAACATCACCAACCCATCAGTTCACTGTTTACAGAGTAAACTTAATAAAATAAATTTTATATGCAAACTTAGGATCTATAATATCTAAAGTGGCAAAGATATTCTTATCTAATAATAATGTTAATATTTCTAAGTAGGTGTCACACAAAAAAGTACAAGAGAATGTTTACCAAAAGAAAATCGATTAAGTCAAAGTAGAAAAAAAAACGACATTGGCTGAATGACACATGTGTCCTTTGTCTATCAAGGGCTAAAAAAATTTTATTGTCAAAATCAAAACTCATAAAAATCAAATTGAAAATAATATGTGGTAGGTACATTTGCAAAACAAGTATTATTACTAATATACAGGGTATTTTTGGAACGCTCCCGAAAACTAAGACAGGCGACAGCACCAAGTATACCTTTGATCATGGGTTACAAATAAAGTCGATCCTGATGAAAAAAAAATCATCTTTTAACAACGTTTTATTAGCTTTATTCACGCGCCATCATGTTAGTACAGCTAAATGAAACGATAATTTCATAAAAAATATCATGAAAATACTGAAACATAAAACCAGCAGTGGAAACTGAATTGATATCACCTGACTAATGGAGGTTAATGTACGCGCGAACGGTGAAAAACAAACGCTGGCCTTGAACTTGGGCACTGAGCGATTTATCACATATTGGTACGAAAGGCGCGCGACGGGGGAACAATCCGCCAGTATTAGTGTGCCTGCATGCTATTGGTTCCCGCGCTTTGTTCGCTCCAAAAATACAGTCGCATACACAGCTTACTTTGCGAC